TTTTGAGGCCTGAGGAGGTTGGTTTATCTTCTCAGGGGTTATGAACACCAAGAGTTATTTTTAAAAGAGCTTCACCAAAACGGATTTTATCTGTATGTACTCAGGAAAGAGAATCTTGAAACAAAGTTTATATACCTCTGATGAAGAATAATATAAGGAATAATTTCCAAGTTACAAATAACAAAAATACTATTATTAAGAAGAATTTCAGCTACAGAGGAAAAGAGATCGTAATAATTAATCCTGACACTTTCGGCCATTAAATAATCTTTTGTCAGAGTTTAGAAGACATTTCTTCCTGATACAGAGACTGCTACAGTCAGATGAACAGAGGATTTCCAGCTAACATGGGACCCAGTAAAATGCCAGCTTAGAGGAGCTACGAGGGCAGTAGCTCTGTGGGTCTCTGTGCAGCACTTGGCCAAAGCCGACAGCTAAAGTTTGACAAAGGGGTCGAACTGCAGAACTGAAGGGTCAGGAGTCAAGATGTGGTAAAGCTTATTAAAAACAGAGCTGCAGGAACTCCATCACACAAGACCACTTTTTTCCAGTTTCAATGTGAGAACACGGGGCCCACTAGCAGATCCACAAACCAACCAAACTCGCTGACTACTGGTTCACATTTTCACCCAGCAGCAAGTCTGAGTGCCTCTCAGGGCCCAGGCCCATTGAGAGGCCTCTGGATCGACCCCGGCTGCCCTGAGTTGTGATGCCTTCACACTCTGGGTATATTCTCCAACAATTCTGAAGAAAGTGTCACCAGTGGCAGTGGCTAGGTGCACAGAAACACCATTTAAAATGAAAAAAGTTTTTTTTAAAAGCTCACTCAAGATATACAGAGGGAAGTCCCTAACCTACTGGACAAACAGATGATTTCCTCACAGGTTTGCCAAGGTACTGACGTTTTCCTACTATATGCATACAGGGCAATAATGAACTGGCAAGTGGTAACTGAGGCATTAGAAAATGTGATCTCTGCTTTTCCTCAAGGGCTCATAGTAGAATAACAAGAGGCTGAGAGGGAGCAAACAAATGAGGCTCTTCTCTCATATCTAGGAAGATTACAGGAGACTTTTCTGTCATTTGTTTGGGTCAGGAGAACTTCCATGTTTTCCTTTAAAAGGTTATTTCTCTGCAGCAGCCCTGACTGCCAGAATATTTTTCTTAATTTTCACCTTAACTTTCTGGCTTGTACAACTTTAAATGTCAGAGAGAAAGGCTGTGGGGAAAGCTCTGTTTGAGAACAAAGTGAACCACACACGACCCACTTCTTCTATGACTCTTCATCTGAAATACAGAAGCATTCCTTAATTTCTGGACTTAAACACCAGCTTCCTATCTGTGCCATCTCTCCTCTTCCCTCAAGATATGCAGAGCTTCAGACATCAGGAAAGAAAGCATAGGGCCTGGAATATGTAATTCTTTGCTATATGGCACTCTGTATTTGGTACAGTTTAAGTAGTGTTAAATTTGAGACATAGGTTTACATGATGAGAATGAGGGAGTCTGGGAACTGATCCTATTTAAAAACACATTAGAAACCACAAACTTCAATACCCCATAGTTCAGATGCCATGAGCAGAGCATATCAAGCAGCAGAAAGAGGTGTATGGGAACTGAGAGGCTCTTAAATCCCCTGAATTCTATGGGAAGGCCACTGTCCAACTTCGAACAGTACGCAAAACTGTGAACAACCCTGAAGGCAGGGCAGCCCCTGAAAACATCCTGCCATGCAGACATGATGTGGGGACTGGAAGCCAGAGGCCCCTGTGGGAGCTGTGGGAATGCCACGTGAAACAAGGTGGGTGAGTTCTTCCCAGAGCTACAGAAAGATCGGGACGAGATGAACTGGATAAAAGACATAAACAGAAATTGATGAGGCAGAATACGGCCATGACTACACTGCCTCTTTCCCCTGGTTTGAGGGTCTTAATGACTTTCCTAAGTTATAAAGCTAACTTAAACATTAAAGGCACTTTTCAGAAACTCCTCAGGCCAGCGAGATGGAAGTGAAACGGGCACTTCAAACCAGATGCTATCTTTCCAGATCTCCAGTCTTCAATAATCAACAAACTGCTGATCAGTTACGATTTGCCTCCAGCACTACTCATTTTCTTTTGAAAGACGTGAGCGAAGGATGAGCATGGGATTGGTGGGGTGTCAGGGAGGCAAAGAATGTCCCAGATTATAACAGGAGTTACGGTGGTGGCGAGGGGCTGTGGTGAGGAAGTGGGGTTACTCAGAGGGTGAAGGACTGGGAAAAAAGAGCCTCATCTTTGGGAACTCTGGGCCCCATCTGCACATCACCAGGTACGCTGAAGAGCAGGGCACTTCACACCGGGAGCTCTTCCCAGGCCTCAATACTCCCTCTCTCACAATCTGAGAGTTTGCTACCTACTTTCTTCACTGGAAAAGCTGAAAAACAAACTGTGCCCATCATTGAAGGTGGCTTGTGTTATAAGGGAGAATGCAATATTCTCACAGAAGCAGGGCGTTTCTATTCCTACAGGAAGGGCAGTTACTCTCACTTCACAGATGCAGAGAACCACCCAAGGTACACAATTAGATACTCAGAATATTTTAGAATCTGAGCTCCTGGGAGAACAGGAGTGGTGTTTCAAATTCCATGCCCAGAAATCCAACAAGTTTGCAATTAAGTAGTATCTGTTTCTGTCTTTCATTCTCTCTCTCTCTCTCTCTCTCACACACACACACACACACACACACACACACCATTTTACAACTGGCTGTCTTCACTCATTCATTCAGTGACAGGTATTGGGGGCAGAAATATAAATAAGATACCTCCTCAAGGAGCTCACAGTCTAACTGGAGAGACAAACATCTAAGCAGATAACTGCAATACTCAAGCATCATTTCTCTTAACAGCACAGAATACTGCAAGAAATGCAACACGATAAATCCTACTAAACAGTTATCTCCAGTAGCCCCTGGTATCAAATGAAAGGCTGCAAAAAGAACGTAAGGCCCTCATCCTCTGAGTGGTTTTTAGATCCTGAACATACTACAGATTCTGAGAGGCAGCACTTTGTTCTCAGAACTCGTGCTATAATCAGAGTCAGCACCCCACAGATCAGCACTGAACTGCTCTTTATGTTGTGTATGGGCAAATCCTACTACCTAGATAAACTGTTAACTGTCTTAAGGGCAGGTGCCATGCTGAATATTTCTTTAATCTCTCGAGCACCTAGGATTATCACAGGCAAAAAGCAGATCCTAAACACAGGATGTCCTTGGCGAAAGTGACAATGAGATTGATACGGGGTGACTTGTTCCTCTACAAGGTTTGTAGACTGGCAGATTTGGAGTGTTTTATAAAAGCACACCACCACTCTACCTGAGCATATTAATGGACCCACGCTTTAAGGAGAAGAGTACTTGACTGCAAGGTCAGAGAAGGAGACAGCATGTGGGCAAATGGTTTGGCAGTTAATTGCAATTTTTAAAAAGATAAACTTAAGACTTGAATCTCCTGGCTGATGCTTAGGACAGAAACAGACCTCAGGATCTTTATACTTGCTATGAAGTTCCAGCTCTTAGAAATGGATCTGGTATCACCACGAGGTAAATCAGATCCTGTCTTCACTTGCTTGAGACTTCAATGGCTCCCCACTGCAGTTAAAATAGAATCTACCTCCTCCGTGTGGTTGACAGGGCTCTAGTTCTGGCCCCACCCATCCTGCCAATCTTAACTGGCCCCTACTCTGCCCTCACTTACCAGGCCCAGCAACCCTGGCTTCCTTGATGTGTTCAACATGCCAGGCTCTTAACTGCACTGGGCCCTCATACTTGCTTTCCCTTCTTTCTGGGCCCTCTTCCTGCTTCTGAATGACTGATCCCGTCTAATCCTTCAGATCTCAGCTCAGATATTTCCTTCTAGAGGAGGCCTTTCTTGACCAACTTCTTCAAAGTGATCCCCTCTCATCCCTATTATCTGTTAATATGCCAACCAGTTACATTTACTTCAGAGCATTTACCATGTTCTGAAGCAATGGTGTTAGTTTATTTGTCTCCCTGTTTGCTATGTTACCAGCCTACTTAGTAAGTACAAAACTCCTGAAAGCAGGAGCTGGGTTTATCTTGCTGCATCAACAGGCACACACCAGTCACCTAAACACTGTGAATGATGAATGAGTGAGTGAGAATTAGCAAGATATAGCACAGCAGGTTAGCAGGCACTGAGTTAAGGTTTAAAAAATTAAAACATCAGTCCTTCCACTATGAAGCTGGAAGTGGTGAACGATATATAAATTTTTATTTCATTCGGCTGTGCCCAAGTAGCAGGAACACACAAAGATAAAAGAACGAAGAGGGAGAGCCTAAGCTCTCTGCAGATGACTCAAAAAGAAATGTCAAAAAGAGCAAAACCCTGCTGGTGTCAGCTTCCGCTTGTTTTATAAGGCTGCTGGTATTAAAGGCAAATTTTCTTACTTTGAATAGATTCCAAGATGGGTTTTATTTCTACTGAGTGATGCAGTTCTGAACCGAGCGCCCCCTGCGATACCCCATCAATGACTCCAGTCACACTAGGCTAGGGTATCTGAGGCTCTCACTCTGAATAAAACTGGAGCTGACTTGGAATACTAGGTGAGAAAGGGCCATCCCTTCCAAGCACCCCAACACTCAGGCAAAACACATGCGGGGAGAGCTCTTCCTCCCAGAACCCCAGCTCAAGATCTGTTCCTCCTACAAAGGGAAGTGGCACAGGGCGGAGAAACCCATTTAAAGGTGCAGTTCACAAGCTAAGGGTGATTCAATGGCACCCTTAAACCTAGTGTTGTTTCTCTGAACTTGATCAATGAGCACAGTTCTCTTAACTATGGCCAAGTGAGAGGCCCTGAACTTGGGAAAGCATGACAAAGAAAGGAGCAAAAAAAACCCGGTGACCCTGTTTTCTGTTAGGTGCTTCCCGTACTGGGTACACACACCGCGTTCCCAAAGCACCTCCATCAAGAGCTGAGAGGCAGGGGGGTACTTACGCGGCATGATCCCTTGGCTCACCAGCTCCTCCCTCGTCCGGCGCTGCTGGAGCTTCAACTGCAGCACTGCAGGACAGCAAAGAGAGAGGGGAGATGAAGGCTTAGTCGGCTGTTCCACCACAAAAGACACATTTTCAAATGCAAAGAAAGCCTCAACACACAAGGGTGTAGTGTGAAAGAAGGATCCCCAGTAACTGTGGCTGTAATTGCAGAAGTGGCCTGATACAGCAGGGCTTCCGTATTCTGCTGTGGGCGGCGAGAGGAAGTTGCGAAGGGTCTTGCAGGGCGATAACAATCCACAAAGTACCAGAGTCTTGACTATTGCTCAAAACCTCCTACAACACTGTGTCCTCCTCCAGGACTGAAAACACACAAATTCTTAACTCAAAGAAAACATAATGAGGACCACTGCCCAGCAGAAAAGGCTTTCTCTAGCTGTTCTACGCCTTCCTCCTGGTGGCAAATGTTTACCACGGTTAAGTGTAGTGAGTTACAGATCAGGGAGGATTGCTCATTTGTAAAATTTTCTCTTTTGGATCTAGAAATTATACCTGTTTTCACCAAGCAATGCATTTCCCTAAGCCAGAAACTATTTTACCATTAAGACAACTCTTCTCTGCCTCTTCCCCTTCACTTCGAGCTGTCTTCTGTTGACTGAAACACAAAGCTAGGTGATTCAAAGCACATCCGGGCTAGGGGAGGGCGATGCAAGGGTTTTCTCCTATTTCTACTCTGGCAACACCACTTGATGTAACAAGTTACTAGGAATTTTCTCTTTTTTTGGAATTTTTTAAAGTTAAAAGCCAGTTATCTTTATTTCAAATGTGAGTGAAACCTAAAGGGTATTATTACCACTGCACACTATGAGGAATGACAAAGGCCTCCATTCAGAAGCGAAGTGAGAACATGTTCGGAAAAGGAAGGTTGAGAGGATCTCACGGGCCAAGGGAAGTTCCCTTCTGTGATAAGTCTTCATTCTAAGGTCCTGCAAGTCCCATCTGAGGGTGACCTGTATCTATGAGGAATCACTTACCCTAACGTCCGTCTTTCCCATCCACAAAGCAGTTTTTAAGATGGCCTCCCAAAATGGCAGACCTGGAACCAGTCTCCTGACTGTCCCAGTCTCCTGACTGTCCCTCAGACTCAGCAAGTCCAGAACCTATCACTTGTGCCTAGGCACTCAGTCATGTCCAACTCTGTGACTCACTGGACTGTAGCCCGCCAGGCTCCTCTGTCCACGGGATTTTTCAGGCAAGAATACTGGAGTGGGTTGCCATTTCTTTCTCCAGGGGACTTTCCCAGACCCCGATATCAAACCTGTGTCTCCTGCGTATTCTGCATTGCAGGTAGATTCTTCACCTGCTGAGCCACCTCTTCCCCACCCACCTCCTCAAATCTAATCAGCTCTCCAACCTTCTTCTCTTTAATGGTATCACCATCCTCCTTCCCAGGACTAACACTAAAATTTTTAAGCCAACTTCAACTCTGCTACCTCCTTACACTCCTATTTTATCAAGTTTACTACACCTTCTTATGTTGCAGGGATGGCACTGGATCTTCCCAACCCAGGGATCAAACCCTGATCTCCCGCACTGCAGGCAGATTCTTTACCGTCTGAGCCACCAGGGACGCCCTCACCCATTCTAAGTCACCACAGTCCGGATTGTCCAATTACTCACAATTCACTTCACCTGGAAATGCCTACCTCATCACTTTTTCACCTGACCTTCCCAATTAAGAATTACTCCAGGCCTCCGATGAACTACTTTATATCTGTTACAAAAAGTATAGAGACACTTTGCCCTGTGTAATACTTACCCCCAAATAAATGTAAACTCCTGGAGGACAGGGAATGTATCTTATTAATCTATGATGCTCTCCCAACCAATAGCACTCAATACACAGTAGGTATTTAACAACTGTTTCTTAAATTGAACTGCATCTCTAAATGATGATACATACAGTTAGAGAAATCTAAATAGGAGGGTATTATCATCATTTACAAATTAACACTGTTAAAATTAAGAAAGCCTTGCAGAATAAAAGACAGAAGTGGCAACAGCCACACTAATAGCTAACACTGATAGAACCTATGCTCTGTGCTAGATACTGACCTACATTTTTTCAAGTTTTAACTCATTTAATCTTCATAACTCTCCACTGGACAGAATAGGTATTATTATCCTACTTTACAGGTAAGGAGAATGAGGCCCAGAGAGATTAAGTAATTTCCCTAAGGTTATCCATTAATAAGAGGTACAACAGGTTCTGAACTCAAGCATTCTGATTCCAGAACCTGGGCTCCCCACTTCTCTGTTTCTCCAGGGCCTCCTGAAAGCCTGTGCTGCTAAGATAACAGGCCCAGAGTGTGATTGCCTGGGTTCATTCTGTGCCAAGACAGACAAAGGGGCTGAGGGATATAGATGATTCAGGCCAGGGCCAAAGAAGTCTAGGAGATCAGCGTCAGTAAAATAAATTTAAATTAAGAACTTGATTTCAGAATAAATTATAGATCAGCAGCAACAGTAGTAATAAAATTATAAGAGGAGTCACTGAGTGTCGCTGTGTGTCAGCCCTGTATTAAATGACTGATAGACTTAAAAAAAAAAAAAAAAAAGCCCTGTGGGGATATTACAATTATTATCTCCATTTTACAGATGAAAAAACTAAGGATCAAACCTTTAAACTTTTGCCTTAGGTTAGATGGCACAAAAGTGTAGGAACTAGGATTCACATCAGGTCTCTGTGACTCTGAAGTGAAGGGAAATACTTAATACTGTGCCATATGTTTCCTTGGAAGAAAGAGGAGGGCCAGGCAGGATAAAGTAAGAGGGGAAAGGGGGATCTATTTGTTACCTTTTACAGTGTTTCTAAGGCCCAGTATAAGATGAGCTACTGGAAAATGATTAAATGTATCAAACTGATTTGATTTCAGATAACAGGGAAACCTAATACAGTAAGTCTGAACACTTCAAAAAAGAAATAATTGATGAAAAATACATCTATTGTCCAAGAATAATTCTGAAACAGCAATTCGCACCTTTCCAAAAACCCATATACAGATAGGGCCATAAGGAATCCACTATGCAAACTTCTTGACTGAAAAACTTCTTGCTTCATGAAACCAAAAGGTTAAGTCTATGATTCACGGAGTTTAGTTGCTTTTTTTTTAAATGGCTCTAGTTCAAAGAGGAAGATTCATCTAATAAAACTTTTCCATCTCAAACTAAATGAAAGTTCAGTTATCTGAAAATTCAATTTGTGCCTCTCAGCAGTTAACACCAAACTCTAGTCTAATCTGAAATCTGACCAAGTGTCCCATTCACGTAAAAGAATGAACCCTGTATCAGTATGCCCTTACAGTACAACCTTAGAGTCGGTGTGTATTATTTCGTACATTGCATAATCCCTGCTAACTCTAACAATGTTTATAAGGAAGAAAATAAGCAGCAAATTCAGAATTATGGTGTAAGGTATATGTCTGGCCATGTATATATACAACAATCCTTTTAAGATGTCTGACCACAAAGAAAGAGTATTTGCATGAATTTCCCCTTTCCTTAGTCTATCTTAATTCGTCTTAATTCTAAGCAGTCTAAATAAAATGCCTTTATGTTTCTAGGCCTTGGGATTATTCATTCTAGAAGAAATCATTCAATAATTTAAATACCATAAGAGTCATATATTATGTATTCACTGCAAAAGGTACTCAAATCAGGAGCATATTTAAGAGGACATAATTTAATACACAACCACCCTCACCAAGATATATCTAACACTAGTTCAAGGGATTATTTTCAAACACAGTGCTAGATCAAGGAAGTTTTAAAAAGTAGGAATGCAATAAATTCTGTTACTGTATATCACCATTTAGATTTCCTCTCCAGTCCCCAAGTCAATAAAAAACTAAATAAAAATACCTATTTATGTACAAGCAGGAGTCTTTATACCTTCACTGTTACTGAATTCCACAAATTTAATATATCATCTGTTTTTAAATCCATCTGTGCAAGCAGCTTATTATATATAGATGAAGAGATGTCTTTGAAGCTGATGCACAGTGAATCAACTGAGCTGCCTGCCAGTAAAGGATTGAAAGAAAAGAAACAAAGCATAAAGTGGGAAACCTGAGGCTCTCCATTCCCCACGAAAATAATCAAGTTTTCAGTCTATTTCAAATAAAGGTGATCAACTGCTATTTGAACAACTGGCTACTCAGGAAATTAGAGCAAGGGGAGGAACCTGACATTATTCTGCCCGCTAAGACCATAGAGGTAAGCCGATGATATTCAAGGGTTGATGCCCAAGGACTGAATGTATCAAACAATCAAATCAATCAGGTCTGGAAAGAAAAATCAAAAACAAGTGGTGTGTTCCCAAGTCTGGCTCTGTGGCTCCCACTGGTCAGAAGTTCTGTATTTTACTGGGAAGGGAGATGTACAGCTCAGCAGGTTGCTCCTACCTCATTCGTATTCACCCATTACTGATTTCCCCAAGAATTCTAGAATAGCGAGGGGAAGTGTGAAAGAGCAAAGAGTTAGTACAGGAATAACTGGGAAAGAGCAAAACCCCTCCCCCTGTACCATCCCTGCTGAGGACGAAGACCTCTTCAATGAAGATTCTGACTGCAGGAACATCCCATTAACTCAGCTCTGTCAGAAACACTGATAAATCTTCTTCTCCATTCTTTAAATCTGGATGTGAAACTTTAAACCTAGTCAAAAGACCATGAATTTGATCGCAGCTTTTCAGAACATTTATGTTACGAAAAGGCTCCAAAATAAACTTGCTGATTTGGGGAATAAGGAAAATGCTCCTTGACTAGATACTACAAGCTAGTCCAAAAAGTGGGGTTTATATGCTTGAGGAGAGCAAAAGGCAAACAAGCCTTCTCAAAAATCTTTTCTCCCCACCCCAACCCCCCACTGAGATATTTGACTTTAAGCTATGGAGGTTCTCATAGTTCCAAGGAGGATACTGAAACCCAGAAATGATCAACTGAAAGACTGGCCTGGCTGGAGTTGACTCTGAAAGGATGAGTTTTCATGAGAATTAAAAGTGATCGC